GTAGAGAGAGAGAGAGATTGATTGATTGATTGATTGATTGATGTAACAGTTCTGCTATTAGATACTTTACTGTATCTGGCCTTATGGCTGTAATAAACTGATTTGATTTATGAAGACAAATATGAAGTTTGGGGAGAAAAAAATGAAAGAAATACAGGATGGGGGAGACTTAGTTTGGCAGTAATACATGTGAAATGAAGTACATGTTCTAGTAGGCCACAAACTGAACATGAGCCAACAGTGTGATGCAACTGCTAAAAAAGCAAATGCTACTTTGGGATGTGTTAACAGGAACTTAGAGTCCCAATCACAGAAAGTAATTGCCCTCTACTCTCCAGCCCTCCCCCTCCCCCAAATGCTGTGTTAAGTTCTGGATGCCGCAGTCTACAAAAGTGACCGATTGGACTGAATTCAGAGGAGGGCTACGATGGCGGTGTGGGAATTGTTAAAGGAACCAGGTATACTTAGTTTGGAGAACAGAAGACTGAGGAGAGAGATGAGCAATCTTCACATGTCCTCCGGGTTATTATATAGAAAAGGAAGTGGGCTTGTGGTTTGTTGTCCTCAGAGGGCAGGACCAAAACCAGTGAATTGAAACCGCAGGGAAATAGAATCATATTAGATATTTCAAGGCTGTTAATGAGAGTTGCCAACCGGTGGAATGGGTCACCTCACGAAGTGGCATATTTCCCTTCACTGGAAGTCTTCAGATAGAGGCTAGAATGTCTGAAGTATTTCAGCAGATCCTACATTAAGCAAGGGTTGGACTAGATGGTTTCTGAGGTCTAAGAAACTTCTAAGATTCTATAATTCTCTGATTCTGTTAAACGACTTAACTGGTAGTAGCGCAACAGTTGCCCCTTGTCTAAATATGTCAGCAGGATTTGATCAGACTACTAGAACTACTTCAATAGAAGGACAGATGGTTGAAGTTCTCTTATTTTTTCTGCCATTGTTTGCAGAATTGCATTGTTTACTTATAGTTTGTATTTTTGTAGAGTGCCTAAAAAAACAGCACCTACTAATTTAATTTGTTAAAATATATAGATTCATTTTCTTATCCATAGATTGAAACTAAAATGGTTGTCCTGCATTTTTCATTCTTAGGTGCGGTGGATGATGTATTGGATTGTATTTGCGCTTTATACGGTTACTGAAACAGTAGCTGACCTCCTGATCTCTTGGTAAGATCTGTGTGTTTGCAAAGCATGATGATTTATTCATGTTTTCATGTATCGCAGTATTCATTATAGGTACTTGATACTGTTAAAAGGCCTCTAGCCTGATTCTAGGGAAGGTAGATTTACAAGAATACTATTCATATGTAGATAAAATGTATATCTAAAATATGTGAAAAGTTAATTTCCTAAAAAACTTCCCCTGAACCTAGATTAATCAAAAGGAATGTGCCTATTTCTTTGTATCATGTAACCACATTATGAATTCTATGTTATACTTTACAGGTTTCCACTGTACTATGAACTGAAGATTGCTTTTGTTGTTTGGTTGTTGTCTCCATATACAAGAGGGGCAAGTTTAATATATAGGAAGTTTCTTCATCCTCTTCTCTCTTCCAAAGAAAGGGTAAGCCTTCCTCCTGTTGTAGAGCAAAGATTATTTATTTTAATATTTTTTAAAAAAATGAATTTGCATTAAGTGGTAGTGGGGATGAAGAATTACATTACTACCTTGTGCTTAATGGCAAGATAAGATAATGTTATGGATTGCCAAGATGAGATTAAATTAATGTCTGTACTACACATATTTGTCCTCCTAGGAGATTGATGAGTGTATTGTGCAAGCCAAAGAACATGCTTATGAAACCATGGTGAACTTTGGTAAACAAGGCTTGAACTTAGCTGCTACTGCTGCAGTGACTGCAGCTGTAAAGGTAAATAGTATTGCATGTTATGTATTTACTTAGCATAAAATGGGTGAATGGGGATGTGTCTACAAAAAGGTATAAAATGAAAACCTGGATTACCTTTTTCTAATAGCATGTTCTAAAAAGTATGTTCTCTCAAACAGGAGTTGACTTTTAAACAGTGAAGATGACTCTTTTTTCTCTCTTGTTGCTTTTTCTTGTTGGTAATCACATTTCACAGGATTTCTGACCTCTTTCTGCTGTTCTCCTTCAATCAAGTTGAGGTAAATGCTCATGGAAGATTAAAGCATGAAACAGTGCTACAGTATGGTTGAGTGGGATATTAATATGATTCCCTGCTGAATTCATACTTGTGAGAAGAAAATCAAAATAGTGAACTTGAATATAACTGCTGCTGCTGCTGCTTATGGCTCTCTGTTATTAGAAAGCCAAATTGGGCTTTTCACATGGATTCAGACATGCTGCTATCTGTAATTTGCCTAAAATGCTAAGTGCCTCCATTTTTACATTCACAGTAGCTATTGAGTATAATGAATTCACAGTGACAAAACATTATAAAAGGGAAGCTGCATGTGCATATGCTTGATATAATAATTTTGAATGGAAAATACAGCTTGTTTCACAACTAGAATTTGTACCTGAGAGCAGAGTATATACATCATCATCAGGGCCACCCTTCATCATTGATGCACTTAGAACAAGACTAGGGAGTGGGCTAATTGATCCAGGGGTCAGTAGGAGCTGACAAGCAGTTCCTACAAAGAAGTAGTGATGGCCTTAGTCGGTGTACAATGTAACATTTGTAGAAATGTAGCTGGTTTGTGATTATTGAGAGCATCAGTGGTTTAATAGGCCACTCGAGCCCCCAGGATAGCATTGTTTATTGAGCTACCAGCTGCTTATTCCTAGGAAGTCTCTTCTGAAGAATACTCTGCAGAATTTGTCTAAGGTAGAAAAGGCAGTGGGAAAAATGGAGCTAGGCATGTAAGTTGTGCAATTAAACTTCCAGGTTTTCTGAAATAACAGTTCAGATGTCTACTTTTCTTCAAATAAAATTATTCTAAATACTAAAGTGAACATCCGATCAATGAAGCCATGCTTTTCCCTATAACACGCTAACATTATTCTCAATTCTTCAGAATTCTGTTTATTATGAACAAACATGCTTACACGTGTTGTCTGATGGCTTTTGCTTCTAGTGGAGACTGGTAACAAACAAGCTGCTGAGCAAGTTACTTTCTCTTAAACAAGAACCATGAATCAGGATTGTTTATGGCTTTAAACAGGGTTGTTGATAGAAAAAGCCAAAGAGTCTAATTCTGATCAGATCACAAACAGTTTTCCAGTTGTTTAGCTACCTTTAATGGTAGAAGGAATGATTCTATCTTGCTTGTCCATCTTATGTCAGATTTTCAGCAATTCAGTTTATTGGGAGCATTTCCATTATGAAAAATTCCAATTTTGTAATGCCAAAATATTCCATGCTGTTACTCATGCTGACCAAGCCCATATTTATTCATTTTTACCCTATTTTCCTCAAGGTGAAAGTGTGAAATTTGATTTTTAATAAGTATCTCAGCAAAGATACTTTGGCTTAGGTCACAGGTCACAGAAGGACCTGATTGTACAGGCCCAAAGGGCCCCTAGGAATGAAGATAAATCTGAGTAGTCCATGACTTATTCTCACTGCCTTTTTTGCAGTCATCAGAACACTCACTATAGTAACAGCAGTTCTGCTATTCATCTGCTGCTATTCATGTCACCATCTGAATCTGTTAACTTCTTACAAATTAGAGCTGATAAAATAACATGACCCCAGCATTCCTGCAATTATAGGTAAACCTATAGGCAAGAATTCTAACCTTGCTAACCTATGATCACACCAACCCTTTCCTGAATGTCTTGAATCTTAACTTACTGAAATTAAGGCAGGATCTTCTGGATGCTCAAACTATGTGGCTTGTTTATGGCTTCCAGTGGTGCTATGCCTGCTGTGGAAATACTTCATTTCCTCTGCTTCAAACAATGTGTCCTCCAGAGATTAGGGCTGTCAAAACAACTTCTCATCTTGCTTTCTTACAAAATACTTTCAATTTGTGCATGTTTACCTAATAATTACAAATGCTAATATGTAGCTTTTTACTCAAGAACAAAGGTGGTGTGAGAATCAGCATTTGTGCCATGGTTTGGAGCTATATTTAGATAAACATATACCTCTAATTAGTACTATTATTTAGACATTTAGAAAAGGCAAAAATCTAAATCAGTCCATTCAGCCTTTCACGTCAGGGATTATGTTAAACCAGATTTCTTCCAGACATAATTGAGAAGATAGCTAATAGTATTAGTGAATGAATTAATGAAGGCAAGCTTTTGATATGGCACTTAGACTTTACAGAATGGACATTGAAAAATGCATAATTTGAATAAGCCTCAAATTATACACTAAATTATATTGATGGGAACGGACATTTGCAAACAAGTTTATAATTTTGTATCATCCCAGGACATACCGCAATATTTTTATCAGTTTTATGCTAGTCATGGAATCTTTTTTTACTTTGCAATAGAATCTTCCTATCTAGAAAATGTACGTGGGACTGCATTATTAGTCATTCTCTCACATTTGGGAAAAAACAGTTCATTTTTAAATTGTACATTAGATACAGAACATAAATTTCACAATGCAAATTGATTAAGCAATCAGGTGTGCTGAACATAGTTCTTAATCTAACGTTTGAAAAGGTTTTTCAATTGTATGCTAATGTAAGTAACTTTTGTCCTTTTGTGTGGTGTATTTTGAATTGCTATTGCAAACTGATTAATGTTTTGATAGAAGCCAAGACAAACAACACATATTATGTTTTATAAAAGTCCAATACAGTCATGTGAAAAAGTAAGTACTATACACAGATAGTCTCCAGGTTAAGGACGATCCATAGTTAAGAACGGAGCATATTATAGCAAAATTCGAGTTAAATACATAATGATTTGAGTTAAATACACAGTGGTTCGAGTTCATTACACAATACTGCTTTATACGGTATTATTCAATAATACTGTTCCAACTTACAAACAAATTCAACTTAAGGACAGGCCTTGGGAACAGAACTCATTCTTAAATTAGGGACCACTTGTATACTCGCGTATAAGCCGACCCTCAAATTTTTAACCAAAATACAATGAAAAATGTGCCACCAGCAGATAAGCTGACCTGCATTTTATCCATGGATGGGCCTATATGCAAATATATATGGGATACAGGTAGTCCTTGCTTAACATCCATTCAGTCAGTGACCATTCAAAGTTATGACAGCACTGAAAAAATGGAATTGCGACCTGTCCTCAAACTTAAGACCCTCGAGGTCATGTGATGAAAATTCGGGCCTGCCCGCATTTATGTCTGCCCACCCTTGCTACTGCCAACCCCCCCACTTCCCACAGCACTTCCTCGCCTGCCCACACTTCCTAGCACCTGCCCCAAGGGCAGGAAACCACGCTGCCACAACTCTCAAAAGAAAACACAGCCAATGTAGCTTCTCCACTTAGGCAGTGGTGGCTCGTCACTCCACAGAGGACGATTGAAAGATCACCGCCACACTGGACTAGAAAAGGTACTCCGCCTCACAGAAAGCATGGCTTGTTCGCTTTCCGAGGTAACGACATAGGTGTCTGGGACATGGCAGGAGAAGGGAGCTATTGCTCATTCATGGCCTGATGGGCAGCTGCTGTTGGCTGTGTTTCCTTTTGTGAGTAGTAGCTGTGTGGTTTCCTGCACCTTTAAAAAAAGGGGATGCATGTCCAAGTGTTAGGTTGGATGCTTCTCTCTCTCTCTCTTTTTAAATTTAAAGTTAAAGCCTTCTGCTGTAAAGCTCAGTTTACCTGGTTTCTACACCCTCCCCCTCCCCCATTTATTCTGACAAATCCTGGAAGGAGGATTAGATTACGATAAGAAAGAGAGCGGTCGGCTCACACTTACCCAGCCGGCTTCATGGCAGAGGAAGAATTTTAAATCTGGGTTTCTCCCCAGTGAACTAGAGTATGTCATTCTTAAAGCAGCTACCCAGTGCGTGGGATTTTAAGTCCCATTGTTCTCAAGCATGCTGGAAAGGAATTCTGGGGTGGCCAGGACAATCCTTTGCACTGCGCCTCACCTCATGCTGCACCTCTCCATGTGCCCCTGCTGGCCGGGACAATCCTTCGCATTGCAGATTGTCCTGCAAAGATCCTTCCTCGTTGATCCTTCATGCTAAGGATCGTCCCCGTCAGCAGCAGTGTACAGCAAGGCACAGTGCAAAGGATCGCCCTGGCTGGCAGGGCCCTGGTCCCTTTCTTTCCCAGTAGGGTGGTGGCACACACCTACCCACCCACAGTAACCCCCCCCCATCCACTTGCATATCGCCATGATGGTGAGCCCAGTGGAGAGAAGGCAGGCAAAGATATCAAGGTTAGGCAGAGGGGCAGGTGCTGCGGGCAGGTGGTAAGGAGTGGGGGGGGTGAGCAAGTGCTGTGGACGGGCAAGTAAGTGCCTTGAGCGGGCACTAGGAAGTGTGGGCAGGCAATTGAGTGTTGCAGGTGGGTGCTAAGAGGTGTGAGCAGAATAATCCTTTTTACTGCACCTTGCCATGTGTCACTCCCACTGGAATGATCCTTCACACTGTGGATTGTCTCACATCCTTCACATTACGGATCGTCCCAGCGAGCAGGGGCATGCAGTGAGGTGCAGTGCAAAGGATTGTCCTGGCCAGCAGTGGCGGGTGGGGTGGCGGGAGCAGCGGCAGATAGGCAGGTGGCCAAAAGGACAGAGATGGGGAGAAGATGGGTAAGTGAGGAGAGTTGAGACCAGAGATGGGGAGAAGATGGGATAAGTGAGGACCAAGGCTCGGGCCTGGGAGGGACCAAGCTGGGAATGGCTTGGATTGGAGTGGGTTCTCCCCTAACGACTGCAGAATTCACTTCTCGGCCACAGAGACTACCCAAACTGCCATCACTAAATGGAGTGGTCATGTGACATTCACTTAATGACCACTTAGCGACGAAGTTGTTGCTCCCAATTAGGGTTGTTAAGTAAGGACTCCCAGTATACAGGTACTTCAAAAAGTATTACTGTATATACTCACATATAAGCTCACCTGTGAATAAGCTGAACCCAATTTTGGGGGTATATTTTGGTACCTAAAATTCTCAGCTGTAAATGGTGCATGAAAATCGTTATATTATATCCTCTTTATCTGTCAATATTGTTAAAATGAAGATTAAATACCTATATGTTAAAATATGTTGAAAAAGACAAAAAATTCAATGGGGTGTGCTTATTTTCACATGATTGTATATCAACTTTGACAAAAAAGATCCAGAGGATTCCCTCCTCCCATTGAATGACATCTCGCTTTTCCTGTTCAATGTTACAGGGTCAAGGGGCAATAACAGAAAAGTTGCGGAGTTTCAGTATGCACGACCTCACGGCAATAGCAGATGACGAACCAATGGGACAAAGGCACTACCAAACTTTGCCTGCTACCAAAAAGAAAAGCAAAACCTCCACTCCCAGTGAACCCTTAGGTTGGTGTACTATTAAGCTGGACTAATTCTGATTTTGTATAAGCAGCGGTAGATGACCCTCCATTGAAGTCAGATCACCATGGACACTGATCCCTCTCTTTAAAACTTAGAAATTTGACTCTATGGGACTCGCTGCCTGAGTTTCAAAGAAAATTCCCTCAAAGACTCTTGTAAGGTAGTGCCTGCCTCCAAAACCATTAGCTTGGGGTATAGGCATGGAATTGATACCATCACTTCAAAGAGTCTTTCTAAATCAGTAATGTAATCCTAGCCCCAACTCTAAGGGAATTGGATAGAAAATTGTATCATGCATTAATTAAAAAAAAAAAAGGGGTGGAAAAGTCCTCTTTTGAGGTCAAGCCACTTTTAATGCATTCAGAATAACCAACTCTGAATAGGTGGTATGTGTCTTCCTCAATCTCGGATCCTCTACCAGAGGCCTGGGAGTTTGAGGGTTCTGCACAGTATCTTAGCTGTTCCTAGCACTGCACTCTTCTGGACAGTTCTGATGATGTTCCTGGGATCTGTTGGAGCCACTCTCCCAGCTTAGGAGTCACAGCCCCAAGTGCTCCTACCACCACTGGGACCACTTTGGCCTTTACTTTCCATATCCTCTCTAGTTCCTCCTTCAGGCCTTGGTACTTCTCCAGCTTCTCATACTCCTTCTTCTTGATGTTGCTGTCACTTGGCACCACTACATCTATCACCACTGCTGTCTTCTGGTCCTTGCCTACTGCCATGACATCTGGTTGATTGGCCAGTACCTGCCTGTCCATCTGGATCTGGAAGTCCCACAGGATCTTGGCTTTGTTATTTTCCACGACCTTCTGTGGAATCTCCCATCTGGACTTGGGAGGGTTTAGCCC